GAAAGGGCAACAGAACTTACCAATTATTGATAGATAGTAATATTGTATTATTACTGCTAATGTCTATCTTATTAATAAAGTAACTTGTTTGTTGTAAAGAATATAGACTTGTAAGATAATAATATATAACATTTTGAGGATTAAAATCTGTTCTATTGATTTTTGCCGGATGTACATGATATAAACCTAGTATATAAATATAAAATGTATACATATATCCCAACTTGATTTAAATGCTTGAAAATAAATATCTAATGGAATTGTGCATCTCTTCTCATCTTATTTAATGTCTGTGTTTACTGTAGTATATTCAATAGGTAAAATATCCTTATTATAAGCTTAAACCAAAAGTGAAGAATTGCTTCATCAATATGTGCTACTTTAATTATTAAACTAGCAATTCTTTTGAGGACGCCCTCAACAAAAACATAAAACCGGAAATGACGTGGTTGCTAAGCAACAAGCTCATGCATAATCATTCAGTGACACCTGTTCTAATTAGACTAACAATAAAATCTTTTTGGTCGATTTTGTCAAAATTGAGCTAAAAGTTTTTATTGTTAGTCTAATGAGCACAGGTGTTACTGAATATGCATGAGCTGTAGCCTAGCAACCGACGTCATTTCCTGTTTTGTAAAATTCGACAGCACCTTGCTCTGATAAGTTTCGAAATTTGTTGGTATCATGTGGATATACAGTATTTGGAAAGAGTGTTTATAAGATATAGTAGCCTGTAATAGTGCTATATTCGAATTCGAAGTGATTATAATATATTTAATTCGATTATATACTGATTAATAATCATGAAATATATATTATTATTAATGCAATTACGACAAAGGAAGTAGGCCTACACACAATGATGTAGTATAAATTACACTACAGTTTACTTTTATTTCTTGCATACTCGGAAATTTTACATCAGAACTATATAAACGTAATATAAAAAGAATATAAAGATTCTAGTTTTATATAATATAGTATAATAATGCTTAGGCCTAATTATATTTAAGTATGTAATGTCGTTCGAGAATTGCTTGTTCGTTGTATAAGAAACATAATTGGCAAATTTGATTCAATTCCGGCGATCCAGTGACATAAATCATAATAAATATCCGCGCACGATTATTTGTAGAATTAAGACCTCATAAATCCGGCTATTGATATCATCTTGTGTTCCGGCAATTTAATACACATCGTGTTCCGCTGACAATGACTGTAGATCGACTTCGCACTTATTGATGTATTGGTAGATTTGACCTGAAACACTGAAATAAAAGAGATTGAACTAGTGAGAAATACATTCAAACAATTTTTATTTTGGCATCTGTGTTAAGTTAGGCCTAATTAAGTATAAATCTCATTAGATTAAAAACATTTTTAGAGACTTTATGACATTCATACCTTCATGAGGTATAGGAATACAAATTCAGAAAATAAAATTGATTGTTTGATTGATTTAATACATTATGTAAAGTGTTAATATTAATAAAGCGTTATTTTAATATGAGTGGGTGAGTACGCTCCCCACCCCAAATCGATAATTAAACTTAAAAGCGAATATTAAATCTTAACATTTTAACCAATACTCTGTCAGACCCCTGTAGTAATTTTAAGAATGATTATGTTTTGTTGAATTGAGTAATTTGCTGTATATATATACTGTCTCTTA